GAATTTAGAAATGAGTGCCATATGCGTAATGAGCACCCCCAAATACCTCGAAAATGATACCCATATTGCATTTATTTCAAAAGTCGTGTCCGCCATCTTGGATTTAGAAATAAATGCCATATTCGTGATGAGCACCTCGAATACCTCGAAAACGATTCCCATTTTGCATTTATTTGAAAAGACGTGTCCGCCATCTTGGATTTAGAAATGAGAAAAGTCGTGTCCGCCTTCGTATGTTCAGATATAAATGCCATTTCCACAAGGATTACCAAAAATAAATTTTAGAAAATTCCTGTCACTTGACGTTGTCGATCAACAGTACGATCGACAAAATCGAGCATATCTATAGGCACCTGATCGACAGTAACGATCGACAAAATCGAGCAAATCTGTAGGCACCTCTAACTTAACGATGAGTTAAGCAACATACAATTTCCCCACTTTTGAGGGAAATGTTATTCCATGGCATCATTATTTGTATATTTGTGTGCGTGCCGACGAGCGTAAATGCAAGTAGCTTACGCCTACATGAATTTGATTTTTGCCTCACTTCTGACAGCACGTTTTTTATGAAACTATCATTCTATGCGTTATTATTCTAAGGCTATATAGCCAATTGCCAATAAATAAATACTGTTAACTATTAAGCGTTTTTTGAAAATATTAGTTTGAGTTCCCAATCTTCAAAGTATTGTTAATAAATTGTTGGCAAAAATTTTATTGCAATTTTTAAATGGAATTTTAATCATTTTAATAATTATATTTACCGAAAATCGTAAAATAACTTTTAAATAGTGCCAAATTTGACGTTAATGCAATCAATGAAAATGTACGAATACAAGAAACGTTCCAATTATGTTATCAAATTACAAACTTACCTTATTAATTTCAATGATAACTAATAGACACATTCTACAAGTAACGCGTTTCAACTTGTATTTTTATATAAATATTCACTAAAACCGAAAATTAATTTCGTTGCAACAAGACACGAAAATGTTGCAAAGTAACGGATTTTTTTTCTCCCAATTTTGCTATTCTGTTTTTGAGGATAGGCAATATCGCTGCAGATTTTTTTTATTCTAATGTAAGTGTGCATTTGACCTCCATTTCTGCAAGTTAAATGCGTACAAATGTTGTTTACAAAGAGTAACCCCTAGAGTTTCTTGCTCATACTTCTCGAGGGAATCTGCCTTACGAATGAGCGGTAGAGTTTAACCAATGTGACGATTTCTAGTGTAATTATGCTTATCTATGAAATAAAGATTATTTTGATTTTGATTCTCGGTATCGTTTACGGGGTGTATGGGGGTGCTCATTACGAATATAGTCATCATCATCATCATCATCAGCCTATTGCAGTCCACTGCTGGACATAGGCCTCCCCTAATGCACGCCATTTCGCCCTGTTCTCGGCTTGACGCATCCATTTCCTGCCAGCAATCTTCCGCAGATCGTCAGTCCATCTGGCTGGAGGGCGTCCCACGCTACGTTTGCCAAGTCGTGGTCTCCACTCAAGAACTCGTTTACCCCAGCGGTTGTCGGTTCTTCGGCAGATATGTCCAGCCCACTGCCACTTCAGCTTGCTTATCCGAAGAGCTATGTCGATCACTTTGGTTCTCTGTCTGATAACCTCATTACGGAGTTTATCTTTCAGAGAAACTCCGAACATAGCTCGTTCCATAGCTCGCTGAGCGACTTTAAACTGGTGGACTAGCCGTATCGTGAGTGTCCACGACTCAGCTCCGTACGTTAGAACTGGTAGGACGCACTGGTTGAAAACCTTTGTTTTGGACAAGAGACACATATTCAGAGATGTCTCAGTGATCAACAGGTTTAGCACCGGATCTGATCACCGACTTGTACGAGGCTCTCTGAATATCGATGTCAAACTTGAAAGAAGCCGCTTGATGAAGTCCACGCTCCGTCCTAATCCACTCCAGATCATGGCGGGCTCCGAGAAGTTCCATGAACTTCTTGAAGCGAGATTCGTCGAGCTGGAACCCACCGAGGACGTTGACGAGGCCCTACAAGGCGTGGTTGGGACGCTGAGAAGCGAGGGCATCAAATTCTGTCAATTGCAGCGTACGGGAAAGAAGTCTAAACTCTCGGATGAGACTCTGCGACTTATGACGAAAAGACGCGATGACATCCAGGCCACTTCGTCAGAGAGGTCATACCTAAACAAGCAGATTGCGAAGATGGTACGGCGTGACCTTCGGAGCTCCAATACACGCCTCATTGAGGAGGCGATAGAGCGAAACCGAGGGTCCAAAGTATTCACTCAGCAGCTTGGAAGGAGCCACCTGACGAAGCTTACAACGCACGATGGCCTAACCGTTACGTCAAGGCAGCAGATACTCGCCGAGATAGAGGACTTCTATGGCCGTTTGTACGCTGTAAATGCTCCTCGGGTCCAGCGTGACAATCACGATTTGAGAGCCACCTTGACGCGCCACTATACCGACGACCTGCCAGAAATCAGTCAAGACGAGATCGTGTTGGCTCTAAAACAGCTTAAAAATGGAAAAGCCCCCGGTGAAGACGGAGTTACTTCGGAGCTTTTGAAGTCTGGAGGAGTTCCTATTATCCAGGAACTTCAGAAGCTCTTTAACTTGGTCATTCACTGCGGGAGAACTCCACGGGCGTGGAACAGGAGTATTGTAGTTCTCTTCTTTAAAAAGGGAGATAAAACTCTACTGAAAAACTACCGACCCATCTCACTCCTGAGTCACGTCTACAAGCTGTTTTCTAGAGTCATCACGAATCGCCTCGCAAGAAGACTCGACGAGTTTCAGCCACCGGAACAGGCCGGGTTTCGGGGAGGATATGGCACCATAGACCACATACACACAGTGAGGCAGATTATACAGAAGTCCGAAGAGTATAATCGGCCCCTGTGTTTAGCTTTCGTGGACTATGAGAAGGCCTTTGACTCTGTCGAAACCTGGGCTGTCCTGGAATCCTTACAGCGGTGCCAAGTGGACTATCGTTATATACAAGTGTTGAGATGTCTTTACGATGCTGCTACCATGAGTGTCCAAGTACAGGACCAGCAGTCTGAACCTATCCAATTACGCAGAGGGGTGAGACAGGGGGATGTCATATCCCCGAAACTGTTCACCGCTGCATTGGAGGATATGTTTAAGACGCTGGACTGGAAAAGGATGGGCATTAACATAAACGGCGAGTACATCTCACACTTGCGATTTGCAGATGACATAGTCCTAATGGCAGAATCGCTGGAGGAACTGGATCAGATGCTGAACAGCCTAGCATCCGCCTCGCGGCGGATTGGTCTTGGCATGAACTTTGATAAAACCAAAGTCATGATCAATGACCACATTGATCCGAGACCCATCTGCGTCAATGGCCACCTTCTTGAAGTTGTTTCCGAATACACTTACCTCGGGCAGATTCTGCAGTTAGGTAGAAATAACTTCGAGAAGGAGGCCAGGAGGAGGATTCAGCTTGGCTGGGCAGCGTTTGGGAAGCTCCGTCGAGTCTTTTCGTCACCCATCCCGCAGAGCTTAAAAACAAAGGTTTTCAACCAGTGCGTCCGAATATAGTACTTATTTCTAAATCCAAGATGGCGGACACAATTTTTTTTTAAATGCAATATGGGTATCCTTTTCGAGGTGTTAGGGGATGCTCATTATGAATATGGCACTCATTTCTAAATCCAAGATGGCGGGCGCGATTTTTCGAATAATGGCAAGTTGGGTATCGTTTTCAAGATATTTGAGGGTGCTCATTACGAATATAGCACTTATTTGCAAATCCAAGATGGCGGACACGATGTTTCAAAAAATGCGATATGGGTATCCTTTTCGAGATATTTGGGGATGCTCAATACGAATATGGCACTCATTTCTAAATCCAAGATGGCGGGCACAATTTTTCGAATAATTGCAAGTTGGGTATCGTTTTCGAGATATTTGGGTACTCATTTCTAAATTTAAGATGGCAGACACGACAGATCAAACAAAAGCAATATTTGTAATGAGCACCCCCAAATACCTCGAAAATGATACCCAACTTGCCATTATTTGAAAAATCGTACCCGCCATCTTGGATTTACAAATAGTGCCATATTTACATTGTGCATCCCCAAATACCTCGAAAATGATACCCATATAGCATTTTTTTGAAAAATCGTGCCCACCATCTTGGATTTAGAAATGAGTGCCATATTTGTAATGAGCACCCCCAAATACTTCGAAAATGATACCCATATTGCATTTATTTGAAGACTCGTGTCCGCCATTGTGTATTCAGATATAAATGCCATTTCCATAAGGATTACCAAAAATAAATTTTTGAAAATTCTTGTCACTTGACATTGTCGATTGACAGTAACGATCGACAAAACCGAGCATATCTGTAGGCACCTGATCGATAATGTCGGCCAAATCTGTAGGCACCTTTAACTTAATGATGAGTTAAGCAAGATACAATTTCCCCACTTTTGAGGGAAATGTTATTCCATGGCATCATTATTTGTATATTTGTGTGCGTGCCGACGAGCGTAGATACAAGTTGCTTATGCCTACATGAATTTGGTTTTTGCCTCACTTGTGACAGTTCATTTGATATGAAACTATAATTCTATGCGTTATTATTCTAAGGAGTAGACGTTAAAGGATGGAAAAAACAATGAGTAGATCCCCAGATTCAGTTTGTACTTTCATTATTTTCCAAATATATATTACAATACCAGAGTAATGCACGAAAATTCTATTAATTTATAAAATTTTGATGAAATTTGTTTGAATGGTATCATCGCGGACCTAATTTTGTAGAGCGCAATAATGAATAAGTTTGTCTAAATAATCGACAAAATATGTCCCTATGACGTCCATAATTTAACTGAATTGTAAGAAATACCTTAGGAATCTAACCAAGGCTACAAATAAAGGGATTAATGCGAAAAAGAGGCTGTTGTTCTATTTATACAGAGTTACTAGCAGCCGTGCAGTAAATAAATATAATTTTCACAGTGAAACTACCGCCGCAGCCTACCAAGTCGCGCGAGCGTACCTGGGAAAACGAAGTATGCCCGGGAATGTCCTGTATAGGCGAAGAAGCAGGTGCGATATTTATTTCAGATTTGTCGTGCTAGGCAGGTACCACCTGGAACCACTAACAGAACCTTTGAGGGGCATTGCGGAGGATGGTGGCCAGTCATGGTCGTGTTTTTGACAAAAGTTTTGCACGTCCTTGTCCTTTCATATTGCCGCAAATTAACACATCAATAATGTAAATATCGACACTTGAAAGGCAAAATGGGATAAGCGACGCTTTTGGGTCTTTTTGAGTTGTATGTATACTGTTGGAATCAGAAATTGATTGAATCAGTGATTCCATTAGTATATGTGGCTTAATATGATCAAAATTGTCGCTTATCCCATTTTGCCTTCGAAGCGTCGATATGCATGCAGTAGAGCTCCTTGTGAAAGAATTCGTCCAGGGAAATACTCTGCCCTCGCTGTCATAACTAGCGCATTTGCAATTCGGTAACTTTAGAGATATTGCCATGTAAAGTGTTTTTTTTTTGCTAATAAAAATTTACGCTGATTTTGATTAACAACAAAACAAACTAAATAAGATATTAAAAAACGGATTAGAAACTTTGTAGATCTCCTGATTCCAGCTTTGTTAATAACTGAATAAATTGTCGTAGCAGTAGAGCTCCTTGTGAAAGAGTTCGTAGGGTAGTACTGCCACCCTACCTATTTCTGCCGCCAAGTAGTAATGTGACATTACTTCGTTTCGGTTTTGAAGGCTAAGTAAGGGTGCTGGTGATTGACAGATCAACCGTTTTTCCTTCTACCATACGAATATATTTTAAATTTTCCCGCGTTTTTCTAGTCTCATCTTTCGCTAGCCATATTCTTCGCCGCAGAATACATGCTTCGCCGAGTTTCGGGACACAGAGGAAATTAAGTGTTGTTTATTTGTCACTTCCATTATTATTTCGATGGTTTGATCGGAACAGACTTACTTAAGGATCAGTGGAGAGCCAACATCAACTTTATAGATGATGTTTTAGTTACGCGATCAGCCACTATACCGATTCACATGTACAATTCAAGTAATGTGAACCTTTACGAAGACATTATTCCCGCAGGAACTTCAAAGTTAGTTCGCATCGATGGTGAAGTTTACGTAAAAGAGCAGGCTATGTGTTACCATGAAAGTCTTACAACGGTATTTAATAGTCATGGATATTTAGAAGTACAAAACCCAATACAAACCGATATTATATTCTCTGTCGATAGTCTTAAAGGCGCTAAAATATTCAATGAAGAAGTCTGGTGTAATAAACCCAGCTCGACACGCGAACACGAAATGATATCTCGCTTGGGTACAGAACACCTAAACGAAGAGGAAATGACCAACCTTATTACCCTTAGCATCGATACGCTGACGTTTTTTTGTATTGAGGGTGAACCTTCACCAATAAAATTAAACACCGAATTAGGACAACTGACGAGGTCCCTGTGTATACAAAAAGCTATCATTACCCCTTTGTACACCACCAGGAAGTCAGAGACCAGTTATGGAAAATATTAGATCAAGCTATCATAACACCATCCGACTCCGCTTGGAGTTCACCTATCTGGCTTGTGCTTAATAAAATCAATGCTTCTGGTAAACAAAAGTGGCGACTTGTGGTTGATTTGGGTAAAACTATCGACAAGACTATAGGCAACAAATACCCAGTACTTAATACAACTGACGTTCTTGACAAGCTAGGGAAATGTCAGTACTGCACCACACTGGACCTGGCAAGTGGTTTTTACCAAGTTGAAATGGATCCTCAAGATATTCCGAACACGACGTTCAACGTTGAACACGGTCACTTCACAATTTCTAAGGATGCCTAAGGGACTAAAGAACTCCCCGTCCACTTTCCAACGGGTCATGGACAATGTGCTCCGAGGCCTCCAAAATGAAATTTATCTCGTCTATTAAGACGATATCATAATGTTTAGCACGTCTCTTCGAGAACACATGACTAATCCAGAAAAAGTCTTCAAACGCCTTCGCGAGTTCAACTTCAAAATCCAAATGGACAAATCAGAGTTCCTTAAACGCGAAACGGCTTATCTCGGACTCGTTATTACTAACGACGGGATAAAACCAAACCCCGATAAAATCTTTGCAATTAATAAATATCCAATCCTCAAGACCCAAAAAAAATGCTTTATTTCTTTTTTTAGAACCAGAATATGTCATTAGCTTTGAAAAATATAAGACACTTCTCACAAATGACCCCATCCTCCAATACCCAGACTTCAGTAAGGAGTTCATCTAACAACCGCTACAATCGTCGCTATTGGAGGAGTACTATCGCAATATCCCATAGGATCTGAAAAGCCTATGTGCTACGCTTCTCGCACTCTGAACGAGACTGAAATGAACTACAGCACCATGGAAAAAGAACTACTTGCCATAGTTTGGGCCACGAAGTACTTCCGACCTTAAGAAACGTGGTCCGGAAGCCAGGTTAAAACGTGTTCCTAAAGAAGCTAAATTGTTGCTGATTCATCTGTTACTGACCATTCAACTGTCCAGATCACAAGATATAAAATTTTAAAGCCTAGCTGAACGACCTGGACTACTCCCATACAGACTTGGATCAACTAGAGTAACTACTCAATAATACCTTTGTCTAATACATTCAACTCGACGACATCGAAGATAAAGTTTATTCCCTACAGAGTGAATTACAGACATACAAAAATCGCTTTCCTAATGATACCATTCGATTGTACGAATTTCAAGTAGAATATGGTACCCAAAAAATAGATAAAATTATATTTCAGTTAAAATCTTTAGAACCAACTCGCGTTGAACGGGGCCCCGGAGTCGACCTGGGTTCCATAATTAAAAGTATCACGCGTAATTTGGACCACTCAGATACTGTAAGTTTTAATAATATTATTCAGTTATCCAGGAACAAATAAGACAAGTTAGTTTCCCAGCTCAACAGTCACATTAATTAAAATAAGGAGTGGATATCTCAGTTTAGCAGTTCACTAACTAAACTGATTGACAATCAAAGTAAATTAAACTCAACTATAGAATTATGAAGAGTAATAGAATAGAAGATAGTAATGCTTGGAAAGTAGTTTAATAAAATATGCTAAGTTCGCCCAGCTATTGAAAATAATCAGTAGACGCACTGAGGATCTGATGGATACTTACAATAGACAATAGCTTAGCTTTCATTCGTACTTCCAAGACGCACCATTCTATTATAGATATAGGAGTACCAAAAACTATGCTAAATGTAATGAAGAAAATCTACAATAAAAATCAGTTACTAGATTTAGAGCTCAGAGAATACTATGATATGTAAAACCTGGCTACTATTGAGAAGAAAATAGTAATAATTTTTCGATTTCCTAAAATTTCTAATATTATATTTAACCCCTATAAACTTTCCATAATCACCAATAAACATCACGAAGCGCTTATTCCTTCCTATCGATTCATAGCAACCTCCCAGATGACATTCATGTACATGGAGGCAGAATGCCCGAAGGTAAGAAACTGGTATCTCTGTGAAAAAGGGACACACCATCAAGTACCCACGAGGCCTGACTGTATTCAACAACTGTCAGTCATTCAGTAACTCTGAATATAAAATGAAGTCTGAGTTTTGGCATAGTTATAATTAGCATAGTATTTACTATACACTAAGATATAAAATGTTTAACTACTACAATAGAAGTATACTTATAAATAATTTCTTAGTTTTATTTATGTTACTTTTGTTGTTAATTCCTACGCCACTCACCGTCAACACTTTTTTTTCAGTGACAATACCAACTTGCGGATTATTATCATGTCCTTTTAAGGGTGGCATCGAATTTTCTTGTGGTCCAACATGTGGCAAATCAAAAAGTCTTTATCCTCTCGCTGGTTCTCTCTCTGGTCCCGCAGGTGTTACGAGTAACATTTGTCAATGCAAGACTAAATCTCCTCTAACATTCCGCACCTGCATATGCCCAGGATTCGAATGTCCACGCATTGAACTTGAAACTAATTGGCCCTGCCCCTGCCCTCTTCCTCGAGAGGAACTCCATCTTGGTGATCATGATCCAAAACAAGTGGCAGCAGAACGTTCTAAATTGACTGAAAACACATCAGGATTCAAATTATCTATGGAGAAGAAAGGCCTTGCTTTTGAAGGGGAAATATCTTTCGACGAGGCCTTGAAGTTTTTCTCAGACCATCCAGAATACCTTCCAGCAAATAATACATCCTCCCAGACATTAGTGGTGCCAGATAGATACCATGGCGAATGTTGCTGCGAGGATAGCGAGATGTTGTATGATTTGACCAGTTGTCCCGGAGACGAACCGTTTGTGAGCGATAGAATCGAGAGGCTGCAGAAAATGGAGGCTGGCAGGAAAAAGGAGAAAATCCCCTTTTTAATTCCAATTAGAGAAAAGTTTAAAAAAAATAAACAAAGTGACAAGGATAAGCATAGGTATAATGAAAAGAAGTTCACAATAAAAGATAAAACAGTAATAAATAATAAACGTAACGCATGTTACGGACAGGAAGACATAAAAGGAAAACTGTCGGAGTTAACATCGGCTAACAAACCGAAGTCCGAT